TATCATAATTTTATTAACTGATGAGATAATATGAAGTCTTTCTGTATGTTAAAAACTGTGATTTCTGAAGAAGTCTTTCTGCATGTGTGAAATGAAGTCTTTCTGTATGTGTGGAACTGTGTTAGAAAATGTGATTTCCGAGACTCTGAGAAAATGTGAAAGCAACGTGTGAAAATAAATCGAATAAATTCAGTATAAATGTACAGTACATACCTTGATATACAGAACAATCAATCAATATCATTTCATATTCCAGGCAACACATGCAATCAGTGTTTATTCAGTCGCATTTGAAGCCGAATAGCATCTGATATATACGAGGGTAGCCTGCATGGCAGGCGGTATTTCTACGGGCAGCGAAAATTAGGGAAGCAAAGGAAATACCGTCTGCCGCAAAACTAGGGGTTTTTGAATTACCCGTCCGCTGGTGAACGGGAAAAACGGATTGGTTAGTATTTTTATGTAGTTGTCAATCAACGGCTCAATTCGGTTAAATGTTAATCATTAACCAAATGTTTTGACGTTTTGAAACTCTGCGTTTTGAAATTAGTTCACGTCAAGTCAGACCAGAAATGGAATAACATAATAAAAGAAGCAAATTAAAAGATACAAGCTGAAAAATAACACTCTAAATAGTGTTTTTGATAGAAATTCGAACAAGAATATTTAACAAAGAAGATACGTCCGAAGGGGCCGAAGTTATGACCGGCGAAAGGTATGGGCAAACATTTTACTAAAACTATCGATAGAAATTAGGAGATATTTCTTCACTGAATCGAACAGTGGGATTTTCATATAGGCCTATCATGTTCTGAACCAAAGATACTTGATAGATATTATATACGAACCTCCAAAGTATAAACAAGGGGCCGGTTGATGCGGTAATTATCAAATAACAGTTAAACTCTTATATACCCGTTGAATATGTATAGTTGTAAACAAATAAAAACTATCGTTCTATAAGGTTCAATACTTTCATTTTGGTTGTTGACTGATGACGAATCTATAGTATAGACTTGCATGCTTTGTATTTTGAGCTTATTAAACCACCGTTTTAAGGCAGCTAAACGGGCTTGGTTTATATTAACACATAAAATAAATTCCTTGATTCTCATCACTAGACACAGTCTACACTTTGAAATGTCGAAGACAGTGGGGGATTTATTTTTTATATTTTATATTTATATAATTTATATATCAATAGTTCGTATCTCCACGAACAATGACAGAATGACTGAGTTTCTTTAAAATACAATGAAATTTCACTCAAAATTCTGTTTGTTTCAAATTGGAAGTTTAAAATGGCAATAAAAACTCTATATAAAATATAAAAAATTAACTGTCTTGAATTATTTTGTCGGGCGGTACATTTATATTGTATAACGAAAAATAAAACGTTTTCACGAGGATTTTAAAATTCAGTCGGGCGGTGAGGAGAATCAAGGAATTTATTTTATGTTGGGCAGTTGGGACTTGGGAGCAGCTTGGGAGTGGCTAATTTTGAATATTTACTTAATTAATGCATCTATAAATAGCGTTGATGCTTCAGGGGCGGTTGTTCATTTACACCCAGTTTTGCGGCAGGCGGTATTTCCTACGTACCGCCTGCCATGCAGGCTAAAGGGAACCCAGAAGCGCCACGTACCACTACCCGAGTTCCCTTTGAACAACGATTTTGCCTTTTCCAAGATCGGTGTCGATTACGCAAGTCCAATGTACATGAAGGACATATACAGTCAATCGAAAGATATGCACAAAGTTTACATGTCCTTGTACACCTGTTCCAGCAGTAGAGCCTTACATTTGGATTTCGTTCCATACATGTCAAACGAAGAGTTCGTTAGAAGCTTATGTTTCTGATTTAGTAACATTTCTAGTAATTTAAGCCGTAATATCGATGCTAATCATTCTTTTTTTCTGACGAACTTACAACAATTACATGCGCACCCTCTGCGAAATGACAAATTGTGACAGTTAATTGATTGGTATATGCCATATCCATTTAAAATGCAGTGCAATAAATAGCTGTATTTAATTATAAATTAGATTGGCTACTATTTTTTTTATGTCGTTATACTAATAGGTTTGGGGGTGCAAATGAAATTGATCAAAGGTGCTAGCTTTAATATTAATTCCTTCCAAAAAGACGAAAACTGATTTCCTCTGCAGAGAATTTTCCGAATTCCTTACTGTGCATAATTATTTTCGAAAATTACACAAAAACTTTTAAAAAAGCTTACTGCAGCACTTTTGGCACCGAACACACCAATATACGCCTCCGCCCTTCCTTCCTGTTCCACACAAAAGAAAACTAACTTCCCCTGCAGTCTGATCGAGATCATGTCTATTTTAATATCATAAAAGTACTATCGTTGAACATGATTATCCTATTCCATAAAATTGTTTTTCAGTTGAAAGTGTAATTTTAATGAATTTCTTTGAAAACCTGCATGTAGCGCTCGTGAAAAGCTCGAAATGTGTAATTATATCATGCACCATTAGGGTTATTCACTTTATTAAGGCGTAAAGGCCAAAATAGTAAGGGGAGTCTCACATATCAATTTTGTTCATGAGAAACGTCATTTGGACGTTTCTCTGGAGATTCCCCAGCCCCTTGAAAACGTCACACAAAATGCACCCTTGACGCACTCCTTTTCGATGTTCCCAAAAAAATGTCCTGTTTTCAGATAGTTTGATTGCGTATTGTGTTTGACTATATGTCCTTAACTAAATCGTAGAAATCTCCCCCTAGCTATTTTATTTTCAAATAGTTTGGATAGGCCATAATGCCAGACGGGATCAAAGGGTTATTTTGAAATCAACAAAACATGCGTAAATCTTTTCATTCTCATTTTGTTTAATGTATTTGTCATGTAAAGTTTTCAGTGTTAGAATGTGATCTGCCGTTCTATTTGCGGGAAAAAATCCTATTTGAGTTGAATGAATTAAATTCTTTTCATTGGTAAAATTCATCAGTCTGGTATTTAGAATCGAACAAAATAATTTGCCCATACAGATTGAAACACAGATACTGCGATAATTACTGGAATCTAAGCAGTTTCCTGATTTGTGGATCGCAATTGAGGAAATAAGCTAAAATATTAGTAGCAAAGGAAGTAAATGGCGTGGAACTGCCTAAATTAAGGATGAACTTGGTGTCTATAAATGAATGTTGTCTGTGGCATAATATTCTACTCAGTTCTTGTTCAGTTACAGCAGACAAGCAGATACGAAATTTACTACCGGTATATGACATGTTAGAGCCCTTATATCTTCAAGAGGAATTAGTTCATGAAGGTGAAATTGAACAACTGGTGGAACAGCAAGATATTCAACAGCCACTACCCCAACAGCAATAGGGAAATTGCCCTATTCATCCTCAACATTGTTCTCTGGAAAAGCTCCGTCAACTGTGAAATACTGTAGCTATTGTTCGAAGCAGCATACATGTACCTCAGCATCGTGCTCTATTGTTACAGATATAGCTGCCAATTCTAAGGAAAAAAGGAAAGATCTGAGATCTGGTCATATTATAAAGTGTTGTGACTCTCAGCATATAAAAATGCCAAGTGTGTTATGGTCATCACCATGTATCAATCTGTGAGAAGAATGCCAACAAATTCCCTGCCCATTGAGACAACAGCAAGATAGTCGACCCAGCACTAAATCAGAAACTGCACAAGCAACCCAAACTGAAACATCTAGTTGTATGTTGAGAGTAATACAGCCGATCTTCTACAGACAGCTCAGAGCTTAGTGGGCAAAGTTGGAAGTGAATTGGTTGGAAAGCATAATGCTCGAATAATGTTTTTTATACTGTGAAATGTTAGGTTATTTGCACTTGACATTATTTTTAATTAACTCTTTAGCATGGACATGTATTTCAATGAACAAGTGAACTGCTAGTTTTTCCATGGTTGTGTATTCTACTCTACATAAATATTATTTTATTATGGCAAAAAAATATTTGCGTTAGTTGGACTCATAATTGTAATAACTTTGTATTTCTTTTTTTTCATAAAAGAAATCACCCCTTCCTTAAAGAAAGGTTTTAATAATTAGCACAAGACATCATAATTAATATGGATGCATACATTCTTTCTTCTTCTTTTAGGAATTTAATAGCATTGTATATATACCGAAAGAAAGAACTTGACTATTTTCGAATGTCTGTATGGAATGGTCATCGCATACGCAAACAACGAAATAAAGAACTACCTGCAGGTATTCCAGACCATATCTACAGTTGTCCAGAGAAATATTGTGGTCAAAATTGTGGTTTTAACTTGACAGATGAAGATCTAAGAAAGGTTGCTGATTTGTCAGAGGTTCTTGATGGTACCAATGATAACATTCATCCGGACGTTCGTCATGAATTTGAACAACATATCCCCAATACAGATGATATTGAACCAGCTCAAGCTGCAAATATATGCGTTCGTATGTTTCAAAGCAAACATTAATGTTAATTAATTTACTATGAATTCGTTCTGTAAATGTTTCAGCCTAATTGTCAAAGTTGGGGTTTTCCCGTTCTGTCATCGTAACAAATCTGATTTTTGTTGTGAACTCTTTGAATGAACAGCATGGTTTGTTTTGGGGAAATTTTCTCCCTCTTGAAAATAGTACATTAGTATTAAAGTGCCACTAACCCTAGAATTGCTCCAATTCTCTCTTTCTCTGATTTCTTTCTCACTCCACTATAGTGCGAGTATAAATCAGACAAAGAAATTTGGAGCATATACACTGAATTTGGGATGTGGGCCATATGGCTACACCAACATAGATTATAAATAGTGCAGAATTGTGGTCTATGTAATATTCTCCCCTAAATTTTCTCTATTCCTATCCCCTGTGGCCATGCCCAGTCCTGCTAGTTATACTTTCAAATGCTGAATAACTTTTAACATAATTTTATCTTTAATATTGGAATAATTAACATTAACTGTTAGCTTTATATCTGACAGTATATGCCGAGCAGTATATACCTGTACCATATAAATCGATAAATTTTATCTCAAAGAACTGTAGGAGTCGCGAGAGTGTTCTTAGGCTCCATGCGTACATCGGATACTGGTCATTCATCAAGTTTAAAATCTGTCTTTGTCGGTAATTACGGCAAACATAATCTTGCAGGTCCCCTTTCAATTCCACATCTTCTTTCCAATCCTCGTTTCGTATGCCCTCTGTGACGGCGGCCATCTTTGTTTCAAGAGTTTTTATATGCAAGATAAAGATTAAACAAAATTTCCAACGTACCGCTGGTCACTAACAATTGCATTGCGGGCCGTATGGCGTCAATGGGCCATGCAGCCTTTTTCTTTTTTTTCATACATAATAATTTTTTATTTAATACTAAAATATTATAATAATCAATATAAATAAATAAAAATTATAAAATAAAAATAATTTAAACTAGAAGTTACTATCGCAAGGAAAGTGCTGCCTCACCCCCAAGGGATGGCACCAGCGCAATTTGCTGAATAAGGGGCTGTTTATAAGATCCCACTTTGCCAGGACGAGATATGAGGCAGGATGATTTCGATGTATTAGATAGATAGATAGAGACTTTATTTAAAGAGGGTGACACTTAATAATACGAAGCACTAATGAACTTGTGGCCCTCAAAAATAAAAATAAAAATTGAAATGAAATACAATGATAATATAATAATAATAATAATAATAATATAATAATAATAATAATAATATATATTATAATATAATTATTAAAATGAGTCACAGTGCACAATTCAGCAAAATCATTTTCTAGATCGAGATAGATTATAGTTCTATAATATCAAGGAGCAATAAGAATCTGCTTGAACTACAAGATCTTCTCTACAATATTTGAGTTCTGTTAACAAGCATTTGAACTTTTGTTTAGCATATAGTGACTTATTGAAATACATCAAAAATCATCCCACTTTCCTTCATGTAAACAGCCCTAATTAAGACACCAGTTCAGGAGGTAGGAAAAGTGCAATTTGAATATCAAACACATTGCACAAGGTCAAAGGTCAGCTAAATATTCTAATTCTACTTTCTTGGCATGGGCAGTTTTATGTGAATACCTTCAACACTTATAACTTCTTGCTTTTGTATGTATAATTATAACACTGTCAGTGGTGAAGCTAGCCATAGCAACAGGTCATGCTATGCAAATTTTTAATCATTGCATTATTCAAATAGTGCAGGTTTATTGGCGTGGCATGACCAGTTGCCATGGTCGCTAGCTTGCCACTGAATACTGTACAAAATCATATTACATATAAACTATATAAATAATACTTGAATGAATCATTGGACATGTAGAATTTAATAACAATTTCGTAATAGGAATATTAAGTCAGTTTTTGTCCCAATTATTTTTAATGGCACCTTCAAGGCTATGTTCACAGAACAAATAAATAATCTGCTGATGGGGAGACAAAATCTATTTGTTAACATTTTTCTTTAATTTAATACGTCTGCTTCAGATGACATCATTCATTTGTAATGACTAAGATTGTACTCAGTCAGAACTGCAAAGCTATATAATAGGAAAGATTTGTGAGCATTATCGAAAAATGTAGTATACCCTGAAATGTAGTGACACAGGGCAGACAACCAGGGTGAATAAATGAATGTAGGCCGGTAGGATTATTTCATATTTATGCTAACAATGCATATATCCCAGAGATATATTTTTACAGACCGCCATACCTTGTACAAAAATAGGTACGCGACGCGTACATGTATCTGCGAAAAAACTTGATTCACATTTTGTATTTTCTTGAAAGAAACTGAATAATGAAGATGACATGGGACAATTGAAATATTTCATCACTTAGTATAATGGCAGATAAGATTTAAAACAGGGCTGTACACAGCGGGGAGTGCAGCAGGGCAAATGCTACCCCCACCCCCGCACCGAGAAAATTTAACTAACTTTATAATGTGATTATGATTGTAACAGATAATTATGCAGTCAGAAAATAAAAATTTCATGCAAACAATATTCAAAGTGTCTGTACAGCAGGCTATTTAGTAAACTGTCACCTGTCAATTCAATCCATACTCATCAAATTTTCAAAACTTTATTGTAATCATATGAAGCAAAAGTTATGTCACTTGTTGTTTACACTTGCCAATGTTAACTGTTGGAGAGTAACATACACAAAATATTTGGTGAACATGTCGAAGACCACTGAATAATTGAGAATGTTTTGAAGGTCATGAGTGAAGTATATAATTAAATTCCAGTTCTGTGCACAGTTAATGATATACCACACTGTTCTGTTTAACACGTACAGCACATTCACACAAAAACAGTCGTGTTGTGGGAGATTATCGGTTTGAGTAGAAGGTATCACAAGTTTAGTTTTGTACATTGAGTGCCATTGAACAAATCCACCATATAATATATGATTACTCATTGTAGCTGTTAAATTAGTTTCCATACTAATGAATTTAGGTAAGATTGTCTTGCAAGTTTGTTGTTCTGACAAAATTATCCAGCCAATATCCAGTACATTTGTTCTTCATTCTTGTATTAATCTCTAAAGAAAAATATTTATGTTAGAAAGCAAAATGACAATGTAATGAGGCTCGGGAGGGTGAGGATTCTTTTATTGAAAATGTTTGTAAAAATTTTGTTTAATTAATGTGTAAAACCAAAATGTATAAGTATTTTAACTGATAACATCTTCAACCTTTGTTCTAACACTATATTTGATGACAGCTTTATAGTTGGAGTGTTGTTTTGAACATAGTTATGGAGTCAATATACAGAAATACAGGACCAGGATTTAATTCAATATCTCCTGAGAACTGTCCAATAGGTTCCTTTGATATTGTTAACTGGCAATATTGCCTGCTATGTTTTCACTGTTTAAAATATTACAGAAGTCACAGAAGGATTGTTTTTAATACTGTATAAATCTTTTTGTGAACTATGTTGACAAATGGCTTAAAATATCCTCGAAAATATCCAATATTTTATACAGTGTATTATATTAATAAAAAATTCCAGAGTGCATTCCATGTAAACTCTACGCCGAAGATACGGCAATATTAACTATAGATAGTACAGTATGTTGTCCAGTTTCGGGACAGTACCAGTATCAAGACAGTTCAATTTCATCACAAAATTTTTCTTTGTAAACAAAAATAAAAAATTAGAACGGTAGGTTCCGATGATTCCCCGATATGTTGCGAAGATTTGGTGGTTTTGGCGCCTTTTTTTAACTGTTTTTCTTGGAGCTTTACAATTTTTAGTGAAGGTAAGTCAAAAACTATTTTTCCAAAATTGGGTAGTTTACAGCGCGGCAAATGTAGTGTGGCACTTGAAGAACTAAATTCTCAGAAGTCCAGCAAGGAAACTGCAATGATTTTCAATTGAAATAAAGATAAAAGGCTTAAATTTTATTTGAAGTAAAAAATTGAGCCATTTTTCAAATATTTACGACATAATGAAATTTTGAATATTTGTGCCATTTTTCCTCGCTTTGTCCAGTATCGGAACACCGACGATCTGTTATCGGACTATTATGCAAAAACGTAGAAACTCGTTGTTTTTCATTGCAAAAAACGTTCAGAGAAATAAAAAAAGATAATTTATTGTATAGTAAATTATTTTACGCTACTAAAGGATTCTAGCGCAATACAAAGTATATGCAATCATAGGCTGCCCAAAAGTGCGTGTTGTAATTTTTACCCTCGCGCGTGGCGCTCGGGCATGCATCGAGTCTACTCAGTTTATTATTATGACATATTATGTCATAATAATAAACTGAGTAGACTCGATGCATGCCCGAGCGCCACGCGCGAGGGTAAAAATTACAACACGCACTTTTGGGCAGCCTATGATGCAATACAAAGCCAAAGGTCTGGATGGTGTGCTTTTTAAAATTCGATATTTAATCGACCAAATGGCAGAAAAAATAACATTACTAACCATAACTAAACTTTTGTAGATATATTTACATTAAAATGTGATTAAAGTTCAATATTTAACATTAATTTTAGCTTACATGTGTGTCAAATCACGATCATTTTACTGCACATGAATTGCTGTCCCGAAACTGGACAAGCTGTTCTGAAACTGGACACTAATGTTGCTCACGACTTTGATCAAATGCGCATAAAATAGAAAAGCTCTGGGTCTTTTGCTTTTAATACATGTTTCCAAATGGATATGGCTACAAATTGTGAAAGTTTCATCCATCTAGCTATATTTAACGATCAGATATAACGAAAAAACTACTTTGTGTCCCGAAACTGGACAACATACTGTATAGTAAATATTTGCCGAACTGGCGAACTCATGTATTAATATAAAATATGTGGGACATATATTTGCACAAATTTGGTATTTAAATATATAATATGTGGTATTTGGCTACTTACCAGATGAGGATAAGATTCCATGTTTATAAATAACTCGGAATAATATCGCAAGTAGAATGCAGATTCAAGATAAATTGATAAAAATATCAAGATATTTTTGAAAGAATATAAACACGATTTATACACGAGGCCTGACGAGGCTAAAGTATGCCGGTTCGCAGGTTAGATGCGGGCACGATGTAAACAATTGATGTAAACGAATCGCTGATTGGCTTAAATTGGCTTAAATTATATAAGCTCGTCGCTGAATGGCTATCTGCTAACATACGGTACGGTACGGTTACGGCACGTTTGCGATAGCATATATATAGCAGATACAAAAAGACCTAACAGGCCTAAATAAACAATAAAGTTCCATCAAATTATATTAAAGGCATGCAATGTAGCTGTTTGTCGAATGTCTCACTTGCAATCTTGCACAATGTGAGTAACTGCATACTTGCATTTCGCAAGTGCTGTAAGTAAGAAAACATTGTCGGGGTAAGTTTGGTAATATTTGGCAAGATGTGTGAGGTCTATCTGATGATCAATGAAACAAAAGAGAAGAACAGACAATAGGAAATAAGTACATATTCAATAGAGATTCTAAATTTTGCTAACGACATGCTAACAAAAATAAAACTTACTGTACTTGCAGACCTTACATTCAGTGGCGTAACGGAGGAAGAGGGGGCCCTTAGGCATATTTGGTGCGGGGGCCCCTGTTAACTGTTGTCATTGTTTGACTGAGATATTGTATTTCTATTGAATATATAGAATTTTCTGGAAAATTCCGTGTCTGTAACAATAACAGTCTCCAATACAACTACAGTAATAAGAATAACTTTTG